ATAGTAATTCAGTAAATAGCAAATTAGCCCCACGAAAATAATGCGCCCTATAGTGTCTAGGTTTTGCGAACACGATGAAGCTGACTTGGTTGTCGGTTGTTACCATTTTCATTTATGGATACACTTGGTAGTCTGTCGGAGACCGTCGGTACCGGCTCGTGTCTGATCGCTGTCGCCCGAGTGCGTGGGACTATTATGTGGGCTTGTTACCATTTTTTGATTTGGTTACTCACTTCTCGCTCTTTAGTAGCCGTTTTATTTACCGGCTGTGGTATGCGTGCAATTAAACATGGATGAGTGTCGCTGCGTAATCGATCAACTACTTGAAAACTCATTCTCCTTGTATAATTTTTAAGAAAAAAAGCCAACGCTTATTTTATTTAATTTTAAAAAGGAATAAAAAAACGTACTTAGTTTGATATTTTAAACTAAGTTGGTATATGGAAACTCTTGTTTATGTGTTTGTAAAAAAACAGATTGTATTGTTGGCGATGTCTTCTGTTTTATACAGAATAAAATGCAGCGGAGTCAACGATTTAAATAGTTTTAGGGCTCTAAAGAGGAGACACGAAAGTTCTCCGTTACATGTGTAGCCAATTTAATTCAATTTGACAAAACAAGAATCGAAAGTTGTCTTAACCAAGCTTTTAGGTAGCACACCTCTAGATACCTCATATGTGAAAAGTGCACAATAGTTTCATTTTTGTTGTATATATTACACACATCATTTTTCTCTAACTGTTAGTTTATTATTATTTCCGGGGGTTGCATGGAAGAGCAACTATGTTGAATGCCGCCTCCCTCATCAAATGAGTTTTTTTCCTTGTTATTCTTTTAACTAAAAAAGTAAAGACATATTATTATTATTATACCGTATGTTTCTTGGCAAAACAGGAATTACCGTTCGTTTTGAAGGGGATGACTCTGACAATAGAGGAAATTACAGGGAATTGTTAAGATTCATTGCCAAAAAAAATCAAAAATTTTCCGAACATCTAGAAACGTCGACTGTTTTTTCGAACGGCTTGGATTAGTCATAGCATTAGACGATGAGGTATATCAAGTGCCCCAGACGCTCAGTCCAGGAATGTTTACCTTAATTTAAAAATAGTTTAAATAAAATACCTAAAATAAGCAAAAACTTATATTTGGGAGGTTCAAAATAAACTTTCTTTAATAATATTTTTCACATCTGGTTTCGGTAACAGTTTAGGAAAAGTCACGCGTCGCAACTGCTGTATACAAAACTTTTTGAAGAGGGGAGGGCAAACCCTAAAAAGCCCCACAAAAGCATGCTAAACATGCAAATTTTGTACTGTATCAGCCTTTTTGACCTGTGTGTCGGACATGATGCTTTATGAATTCATGATAGCGTTATGTGGGAAGCACACAGTCAACCTGCTTGGCGCAATTTTTTCTATTAGCATAGTTTTAGTCGATCCATGACTATGTGTAAATATTTCAATAAAACCATTGAATCTATGGAGAGGTGTTTTCACTCAATATAACTGACTGATTTAAATTGCGCGTCATTTTTATACACGCTTTTCAGCAGGTGGGGTCGTAGTAGTTGCTTAAAGCACATGTGTCCAATTCATCATGGAGCGCTGCACGATCCCACAACGCGTCCGTATTGTTAAGACGTTTTACTTAAATAATGAGTCGATTGTTGCAACGATTGGGAAGCTACGACAAGATTTCGGCCAACACCGTTAGTCAGTTGGTGTGGAAATTTGAACCAACAGGTGAAGCTGAAGACTTGCCAAGGTCGGGCCGTGTTCGAACTGTTCGTACTCCGGAAAATGTGGAGAGAGTTCGTGAGAGTGTAGTGGAGTTCCCTTAGACGTTTACCAGACATCGTTCTCAAGAACTTGGTATTCGTCGCACGCCATTATGCACTATTTTAAAAAAAGACTTGCATTTGTTGCCATACAAAATTCAGTTAGCCCAATAACTATAGCCTAGTGACCATGAAAGTCGCCGACAATAAGTAATGCAATATGGCAGCTGAATGCCCAAACTGATAATGAGCGATGTAGCCCACTTCGATACGAATCTTGGAAAGTGACATTTGCCGTTTTTTTTGACATTATGCTGTTTTTTTGACATTATGTAGGTTATTCTACAAGATGTTAACTTAGCACTTAGTTGTAGGTGTTGCCTAAACATCATGAGGCTTGTTATCAATCTTTGGCTTTGATGTGATGTAAGATCTGCTTCTGAGATGGCAGTACTGGAGGTCTAAGCTGTAAGTTGTATGTATTGGTGATAACTACGAGTACATTGGGTTCTTGTCTCAAATACACTTAATTGAGATTCAAAGCTAGAAATTAGTTGCGTATCCACTTTTTCTTATCCATTCTGGAAATTACGTATACAAATTTCCTGAATTTTAAAAATGAGAGAGATAAGAAATATTTTTATTCACTGTATACTGTCGAATTACAAGCCATATACATGCTAACAGTAATTACACACAACGCGGGCGAGGTGATGATTTCCCGTAATTCTCCTCAGTTTTTCGTAATTTATAACTTTGAACATAACCTCTCTTCAGAAAGCACAACGTATAAATAACCCGTCATATTCGGCATATTCAGTAATGAGTTTCTCACACAGCAAATATCACTGGTTTCATACGCATGCAGACCGATACACATAATCATTCAGATGCGATCTTGCTATTCAACCAACTTTCTTCTCAGAGATAGAAACTACAGACCCGGATCACTCAGCCTCACAAAACTATGCAACCAGTAATGCGTAGTTTAGTTGAGTGATTCCTCCATAGATGGACGTTCACAACGATCCTAGTGAGCAAACGTGGAAGGACTGTTTGCGCCCTAAAACTACTTAGTCTGCAAGTTGACATCTTTTTTGACGGTTTATAGGTTTTTTACATGATACCCGTGCGGATTTGTTATTAAGCACCTAACTTCTTTGAAGCGCTATCTTGATATGGTGAAAAGCTTTCTGGTTCCTCAAATCCAACAATTTAACCTGCAAAACGTTAAGTTAAGTTGCAGCAGGACGGAGCAGTCTGTCACACCTCTAGGAAAACACTGAATCTTTTGCGAACAATATTTCCGGGACAATTAATTTCTCGATTTGGTGATGTCAACTGGCCACCAAGGTCACCGGATTTAACGCCTCCCGACTTTTTTTCATGAAGATTTGTAAAAAATAGGGTTTATGCCAACAAACCAAATACCAAATACTGTAGAACAATATTACGGAAGCGTTTGAAAATATGCCTCCCAAAACCTACCAAAAAGTGATAGAAAATGTAATCAAGAAGACTCAGGCTTGCGCGGCATCTAGAGGCGGACATTTATCTGACATTATCTTTCATACATAATTTCAGTAATAGATAAAGATGAAAAAAAAATGGACGTATTTTATTTGATTTCACAAATATTCAAGATACAAACATATCGGCCACCCTTTACATATTGTGTGTAACCTAACCTTACATTGGCAGTGTGCTTGTGTTTTCAGAAGGATTCACTATCTTTTCTGGGAATTAGCGTCACTGACTGGCCAATAATGTTATTGCCCGGTTAATCGTTTTTGGCCGTAACATAAGTTGTGAATATCTGAAATAAAATGTTAGCGAAATCAAGCAGACCGACGTTCACCATCCGTAGCTCCATGCAGCAGTAGACGTCGCAGCATAAATCGTCTTGAAAAAGAAAAGAAGGGAAAGGATATAACAAACGTTTTTCACAGTAGCACTTTAGACCTGGTCGTTTTTCTGGCGTTCACCGCCCTGCCTGTTTGTTCGGGGCCGCTTTTATTAGCCCATCAACGGATCTCGCCTGCACAAAATGAATGACCCAGCAATTTGTTTTTGGCAACAGCTCTCGGTACAACCAAGTATAACGACCGGCATGGCATACAGAAAAGCCGGGTGGTCATTTAAACAATACTCCAAGCAACTGTGAGATATTGATCGTGGTTCATAATCAGTCATCGTCTAGCAGAGAAGCGTTTCCTCACGTCTTATGGCGGATTTATGAATGTGTGTAATTATGAAACAAAAAGTAATAGGATTTCTGTAATTTGTAACAACATCTACTTATGTTTATCAGAATTTAATAATTTTTGACATATATATGTTCAGTGTACCTAACTAGTAAAATTTTTAGCTTGATTCGTCAACTGACTGCAAAATAATGTCAATAATGTGTTGAGGATCCACGATTTCTTATACACCCATTGACACGCCTGGGCATCGTGTTGATAAGGTGGTCGATATCCTGTTGGAGTATCTCATTCCAGACTACTACAGTAAGAGCCCTTTCCCTACATCAGAGCAAACGGTTATGCCGATGTTGAGTTGTGAGAAGTAGCACCCAATGTGGGCGATAAGAAAAAAGGCCAAACTGTCGTGTTTGGCGATATACCGTACGCATATCAAACACCCTTCCATGCTCTTCAAATCACTGACTAGCGATGGCTCGAGTACTACTGAATCTGTCTCTTAGAGCCAGAAGCCTTAGACGTCCGGAACCCCTCGCTTACTGCGTAAGGATCTGTTGGTCCTCCTAGAAACTCCTCTTATCGATAGACCTGCTTCACCAAACCCGACAATTCGACCCCTCTCAAAGTCACTTAGCTGGGACACCCGGTGAATTCTACGCACCCTTAGTCATTTTGAGCAATCACAAGAAGGCTTCTCAACAAGCTACATGAAATTTAACATTTAACTGACACCGTAAATGTCCGAAAACTGAATGGTTCTTTATCACCAAACAATACTCGCAGCCACCACAAAAACTTAACAGAAAAACCTGACCATTTTATCACTTGTTGTTCAAGGCAAGATAGATCAATATGTAAAAAATATACTAAGTGACATCCGAACACCCAGTTTAAATGGTTTTATTTTAATAAAATTTTGTATAAGTACTTAATGAAGCATAATAAGTAAATGATAAAAATTTAAAAATGATTGCACTGCTTTAAAGCCCTTTGACCTTATAAATGTGTGGATGCACCCTGATGTGCTACGCATTCTCCAACGCGCCTAAGCATGCTTCTGATCAGGTGGTCAATGTCTTCCTGTGGTATCTCATTCCAGGCAACCACCACCTCCTCTCGAAGTGCTTCTAGAGTCTGAGGAGGACCTTGCAAATTGAGCAATCTCCTACCCATCATATCCCAAACGTGCTCAATTGGGGATAAGTCGGGAGATCTTGGTGACCATGGCAACAATGTGACATCATTATGTTGCAAGAAGTCTATTGTGACTCTTGCAACATGTGGTCGGGCATTATCTTGTTGGAAAGTTGAATCTGCCAGGGTGTCAAGATAGGGTTAAAAAAGGGGTTCTAGAACTCCGTGGATATAACGCTGCACGTTCATGTTACCTCTGATGAAGATTAAAGGTGACCTGGAACCATAAGCTATAGCAACCCAAACCATAACTCCAACAGTGTGATGAACATGTCTTTCAACAAAAAACTGTGGATTCCTCCTTTCACCACGTCGCCTTCTAACCCTGGCACGACCATCGTGCATGCCTAAACAAAATCGAGACTCGTCACTAAAGACAATACTGTTCCATTCCTGATCCCAGAGTGACCGTTGTTTGCACCACTCAAGGCGATTACGTCGGTGTTCTCGAGTTAAAGGGAGGACCCAGTGTGGCCGGTATGAAAACAAGCCAAAACTTCTCATTCGTCGGTAAACACTTCGCATGCCAATAGGTCTTCCGTGTTCTGCAAACCATTCATTTGCAATGGATCTGGTAGTGGAGAAACGGTCCCTTAAGGCCAATAATCTTAGGCGGCGATCTTCACGGTCTGTTGTTCTACGGCGGCGTCCCGTGCCCCTTGCTCTTTGCGTACGGCCTTCTCGAAGCCATGCCTGACAACACCTAACCACAGTGTCTACACTTCTTTGCACTCTAACTGCAATTGCCCGAAAAGAAAGTTCAGCTTCCCGAAGCCCCACTATACGGCCCCTATCAAACCCACTAAGTTGACGAAATCGTACAGGTCTCCCTACTCTAGGCATCGTAACCGATCGTAAAGGATGTCAAGAACCAAAATCCGCCAACGTTGATTCTTTACTGCGGCTGAAATATTCATTTTTAGAGCGTTAGTGAATTAAAAAAAAAGCAGTATAAAAACCGGAATGTCCAACTGATAAGGCTGAAAATTTCTTCACTTGTTACAGATAAATACATTCACCAACTTTTATTAAAATAAAACCATTTAAAATGGGTGTTCGGATTTATATTTCACTTAGTATACCTGAATTCTGATAAATATACGTAGGTGATACCTACCCTACTCAGTATATATTATACATATTTGTCTGAAGCACTGATAAACGTATAAGTAAGTAATCAAATTGCTAAGTAGCCGACGGTTTTGGTCAAATATCGAAATACCCTTTAGTTTCGAAGTTTATTTTTCCTTTATAGTTATAGCATGAAATGTGGGTCCCATGGGTAGGCACCTCTTGTTGCCCCATACAACCGGAAGGGAAGGTGCGCTTTATGATTTATGCTATTCAGTAGTACGAGTGGACTGTATTTTCTTGATTGTCTAATAATATTTTTAATACAAAATATGACTTGTTCTTACTGACAAATAAAATGGGTTTCAGTCAACGTAAACATACTGGATTGTTTTTTTCCTATTTTTTCTTATCATGGCTGTTATCCGCCAGTTGCAACATTGCCAACATACATTAATGCAAAACTGATTGCCTATGGGTCTGAGCTAGCTTCAAAACTGTGGTAAAAAATATTGCCAGTACTGCTTGCATATGATAGTGTAACTTTGTGTCCGACAAATCTGAATGAATTATTCCGATAACTTGAAATTTTTCTGGCAACACTTTTTTCTAATTCTTCTGTGGCACGAGAAATATTGTTTTTAGGGAGCTGCTATGTTTGTATTTAAACACCTAGGTACGATACAGTATTTATAGTTCTAACGTCTTATCCAATTTTACTCGTAAATGCAGAGCCCAACTACGTTTGTAAATGACGAGAAAAATGTCGGAGGGTAGCTCGCTTTATGCAGGCGATAGGCAAGATAACTCTCCAAATGAGAAACTTCTAGGTAGTGTATCTTTGGTATTTAAATCCTCTATAACAGGGCTCTGATCACACCAAAGTCCTAATATTCCATTTCCATTACCGATGAAAGTGTGTTCCGTAAATCTGTGCCTTAAACTGTACTGACGGTGGCTAGTCACATTGCGGTGATATACCAAAAGAACTTGTTTTCCATGATTCCGCCTTTCCAGGTCTGCTGACCAACTCGTCAGGATATAATCACGGTCCAGACCGGTCGTTTACTATACAGGGTGATTTTGAAGTTGAGTCATTAATTTTCAGATAATGATTGTAGAAGGAAGATAAACCAAAATATGTGTGTAAAACTAAAAAAAATTAAAACAAAAATGTTACCTTGTTTTATAAAGTATCCTCCCGATAAGTATTTCAGTGCGGACCTGTATTTGATCGTGCGGTCTTGGAGCACCGGCATGCCCTCCCCTGTGAGGTCTTAAGTCACCTGATTCATGAGCCCTTTGTACTACATTAACAAAGGCACGAGGGGTTGGTTGCACTCGATTGGGAAACCGATCCGCATAAATCCGTGATGCCGCGGCAGCATTTTGTAATGACTCCCCCCTCCGTAAATAAGAATCATGTCCACAAGTTCAGCATTTTCGGAAACATGTGCCATTTTTTATTCCGTTTGAGCCACGCAACAAACACCACTATTCACTCACGCGTTACCGACTGACACATTGACTGAATACAACTGAATAAAATTGTAGTAAAAACATCTTGATAAGCGTTTCAAATTCTTTCGCTTTTTTGTTTCCGATGCGATGAACCGATAAGGCGGATTATATCCGTTGTTGCGTAACACGAGCACATAATATTATTATTGAGACAGGGCGGTACTCAAACTTCTAAAGGGCTATAACTTTGTTACTTTAATTTTACCAGAAAAATGTTAAAGGAAAAAAACATTTCTTTTGATCAGATCTACTCACTGTTAAAATAAATGACTCAACTTCGAAGACCCTGTATAGATAGCTAGTTTATAGCTAACATTGAAAATTATCTATATTATTTAAAGCAGCTTCTCCTTCGTGGCTGCTTGTATAGAACTATTCTTTCTGATGTGCTATCAGTTAAATGAAATTAATAGTTTCATAAAAGGGGCAAGATTTTACAACTTGACGTGCCAGACTATACGTCGTCGAAATACTGCATCAAATATTAACAGCAAAGGCAGATATGACCCAGAAAAATGGCTGGTTTAATTAACCCGACTTTGTGCCGTGCCTGACCTTAGAGAAATTATTACCGGTGCGTTGCCGTTGCTGTGACGGGAAAATTTCGTGCAAAAAGAACACATGAATAATTGTTTCTGTGCTTTCGCTCGATTTTTAGGCAGCCGCACAATACTTTGTTAAAAGCCCGTTTACGGGATATTAAAATGAGGGACTTCTTTGTCGGCAAGGCGACATTTTGCATTATTTATCAAGACTGCATTGTTGTATTTGGAAACATTTTTTTCTAGAATGAAACTGTACGAATAATACAGTGTTATACCACGACCTCTTGCATATGATGAATGATGCAGATTCGGCGCACTGGGCGTTTGAATAACATGACGAGTATGTCAAGACATTAGAAAGGGATAGTTCTCACGGAGAGCAAGTGACAACCGCAACACGACTGCAACCCGACTCGGCACATGCATTCAAATAAAAGCGCTCTCACCAAAGCAACGTAATCCGGCCAGTTGGTCAAGAGTTGCTGGGGCTGCTCTGCTGTGGGGTTGTCACAGTGACAGTTTAGCAAACGTTTCGACTGAGTCCTCGAAAAAGCATCGAAAGCGGATTAAAAAAAGTCTTCCTTAGCATGTTTGTGTTGTTGAAGTGATTCGGTTGGAGAAGCACTATTGCCAATCTTCCAGGAGAGCTACAATTGATACGAAAAGTGTGACAAGCAACCTAATAACACAGCAGTGATTTTCAGAGATAAGGAATGCTTTTGTTCCAGGTAATATTACTTTTATAAGATCCAAATAAAGCGTATATCATGTAAATGGTACTTGTTTACTACCATCTTCTCTTTCATCGAAATCGGTGTCAGCAAAAGGAACATATAATAATAATAATAGCTTTATTGTCCAACAGTAACCCATTTATAGGACAATTAAATAGAATATGGAAATTAACAAAAAATCATGCACAGTGGTAAAAAATAACAAATCAAAAAGATTATAAATTATGTCATTATGATGAAGGTACCAACCTATATGGGTTAAACTTCGACTCGGAACCTTGGTTATTATGAAATTATGCAATACTAACGGAAACTAGATATATAAAAATAAATATGATGATTAAGTCTTAATAAGCTCCGCACTTCTTAATTTTAATATAATAATATTTTCTATGAACGTTTTAAAATCCGCAAGCGCAATGACATTCCGTTCATGAACTCAAGAATACACATATGCTAACGGATTTTGGACACAACTGTAGTTCAAGTCACCGTTCTTGACGGTTACGTCATCAATGCCACATGAAGTAAGTCTCCGAGGGCAGAAGCTGCGCTGACTAATTTTCAGCGCATCTGCTACTCTCTCCAGTACGCATGAAGTGAGTACGAAGGCCTATTTGCTGGAAGTTCTGCACCCAGACATTGCTCAAAAATGTGCATCAAAAAATCGGATCGATTTAGAATTTTCTTGCACCGATTTTGGAGGATAGCCTTAGTCCCACAAAATTTAGAATTACATCTAGAGTTCCTGAGATAACACCATCACAAAAGGGAGCACTGTCAATCTTTTCGGCATTTCTTACCCTTATCGGAAACCGTACTGACGTTTTATATTCGTGTGCTAGCATCGTAAAAGTGCACGACTTTTCAAATAACACCGCTATCAGAAACTAACCATAGCCATCTCCAGCTTCCTAGCATGAGTACTTTAATTTCAATGAGAGGCCATATAAGAGGCCTGCTGAGTGATTTACGTGGAGATAATAATTATTATGTTCGAGACAAACTCCTCTTCCCTAAATTGCGTCGAATTATGGTTGAGTTTGGTGGTTCTTGTAACAACTGCTTGGAGGTAATAGCAACATTTAGTATCTTATCTGCGCTTTCATTGTTTAATAAGATGCACTAAGGGGTTATGATGTCGGCTAATATACTAAGTGATATATAAATCCGAACACCCAGTTTAAATGGTTTTATTTTAATAAAATTTTGTATAAGTACTTAATGAAGCATAATAAGTAAATGATAAAAATTTCAAAATGATTGCACTGCTTTAAAGCCCTTTGACCTTTAATAATGTGTGGATGCACCCTGATGTGCTACGCATTCTCCAACGCGCCTAGGCATGCTTCTGATCAGGTGGTCAATGTCCTCCTGTGGTATCTCATTCCAGGCAACCACCAACTCCTCTCGAAGTGCTTCTAGAGTCTGAATAGGACGTTGCAAATTGAGCAATCTCCTACCCATCATATCCCACACGTGCTCAATTGGGGATAAGTCGGGAGATCTTGGTGGCCATGGTAACAATGTGACATCATTATGTTGAAAGAAGTCTATTGTGACTCTTGCAACATGTGGTCGGGCATTATCTTGTTGGAAAGTTGGATCTGCCAGGGTGTCAAGATAGGGTAAAAGATGGGGTTCTAGAACTTCGTGGATATAACGCTGCGCGTTCATGTTACCTC